GCAGAGGGCGCGAGGGCGAGCGAGCGGCGCGGGCGGAGTGAGCGAGTGAGGTAGACTTCGTCTGGCGGTGAAGAGCGAGGGTGTCCTCCTCCCCTTCCTATGCCCCCTTCCCCCCTTCCTCCGGCTTCCCTCTTCCTCCTCTTTTTCATCTCCTCTCCTCTTATCCTCTCTCCTCTTGTCATCTCTCCTCTCCCCACTTCCTCCTCTTCCACCCCCCCCCCTGTGTGCCATGCCGTGTTGCCGGCCTGCTTCCTCGTACCCCGGCAACCCGGCAACAACGCAGTCTGCTGTGCGGGGGAGGGAGGGGGAGGGGGGGCAGGGAGAGGGAGGGAGTAAGGGGAAAGGAGAGAGGGAATTGAGGCGCGGGAGGAGGGGAGGGGGAGGGGATAGGGAAGGATAAGAGAGAAAGGAGGCAGGCAGGCAGGCAGGCAGGCAGGCAGGCAGGCAGAGTGAGGAGGAGGAGAGGGGCAGGGTGAGGGCGCCAGGGGAGGGGAGGGGAGGAGGGTCCGGCGAGAGTCTGGCGGCCTCGTGGTGGAGCGCGTGACTGCCGGCACGTACACACCTCGCGCCTTGTGCAGGGACGGGTCGCGGCACGGAGACGCGCGTGCCAGCTGCGGGCGTCGGCTCCGCGGCCGCCGCCACTCGCGGGGACGCGGCCTTGCATGATGACCGGCTCGCAGCCCGCTCGGATCGCCGCCATTCATGGAAGAAACCCGGCGTCGCTGACTCGCTCTCGGTCGGCGGCACGATCGCGCTCCCTCGCACGTCCCCGTCGGGCTCGGCCTGGCTCTCGGAAGCGCTCTGCCAGGTCGGGCTCACTCTCGCTCGGCCTACTCGTCCTCATTCATCTCCCTCATTCACCTCCCTCATTTATCTCCCTTATTCATCTCCTTCATTCATCTCCCTCATCGCATCCATTCTCACATTCTAACGCAAGATCATCGCGGACGGAGCAGACGCGTGCTAATTAAGATGTAAACAAAGATTACTCTGTGAAAGTATTGTGTGATAGGGAACGCGCGCAACACATGTCTTTGTGCCTTCGGTGCAGGCACACGCACTCCCCGACTCACTCGCCTGTACGCTGCCTCGCACTGCCGTTCAGGCACGCGATCGCTGGCTCTGTCATTCTGCCATTCCTGCATCTTGCATGAGGGGATTGCATGAGTTTTTGTTGCGGCTGATGCGGGGTCCCAGATATGAGCGTTTGTTTATCTTTTATCGGTCGAATTTTTGGAATGTGCTGGTGTTGCAAGCACGCTCTCTCTCTCTCTCTCTCTCTCTCTCTCTCTCTCTCTCTCTCTCTCTCTCTCTCTCTCTCTCTCTCTCTCTCTCTCTCTCTCTCTCTCTCTCTCTCTCTCTCTCCCCCTCTCTCTCTCTCTCTCACCCCTCTCTCTCTCTCCCCTCTCTCACTTTCCCCTCCCCTCCCCATCTATCTATCTATCTATCAAGTTTTCCCATTTTCTCTCTTTGTCTCTTTCTCTCTCATTCTCTTACTCACTGACTGCATTCACACGGCCTACGACTTCGCCGGTTCCCTCACCTCTCATACCGTTATCCTCCCCCCTCCCCTCTCCCCGCCCCCGCCCTCTGCCTCTGGAATCTGTTCTTTTTCTCGGCGGCCGTAAGACCTTGGCTCGGCGTTCGGGAGGGGGAGGGGGGAGGGGGCGGGAAAATGAGAGATTAGGGGGAGGGAGTATGTCTGTTTTCTTGAATTCGTCATTTTTTTTTCTTGGTTCATTTTTCTTGTATTTCTTTCTTTATTTTTATTTTTAGGACATTTCTCTCTCTCCTCTTAATTCCCTTTCCTGTCTCTGCACCGCATCCTCCTCCCGCTGTTCCTCTTCCTCTTCCGTCGCCCTTCCTCCTTAACTCCCGAGATCCTCGTCGTAGGCCTGGCGTGGCTTCCCCGGGTGGTGGGCGTCGGGCGCTTGCCTCCTTGTCGCTCGCTCGCTTTTCTTTCTTAGATTTTTCTTCTCTTGCTCTTCTTCCCCATTTGCCTTTTTTTCTCTCTCTCCTTCGCATCTCATGTCTTCTCTTCTCTTTCTACTTTTCACTTGTGTCTCTCTTCTCTTCGCCTCTCTCTCTCTCTCTCTCTCCTCTCTCTCTCTCTCTCTCCTCTGTTTGCCTTGTCCTCGCTGACTTGTTCATATGTTCACCGGTGCGGGGGTGTGGGGGTGGGGGGGTGGGGGCTAGTTACTATTTTGGGGCCATGATCTTGTTTATACATTTCTCTTATTGATTCATTCGTCCGACCACTCTCGTCTTCTTTGTCTTTTCTTTTAGTATGGTATTGTATTTCTCACCTCCTTTCGCTTTAGTATCGCTCTTCTCTCTCCTCTTTGCTTTGTTTCTCAATTCTTCCATGTGCTTCTTCGCTTCTCCCCCCCCCCCTTCCCCCTTCATTCTTATCGTCTCTCCTTTCCTCCTTCGCTAAGGGTGCCATTACTCTGCTTTTATCCCACCTCCTCTCCCCCCACTCACCCCACAAACTAGGCTCCCACGCTTAGTCCTCCCCACCCCACCCTTCCCTCTTCCCCCCTTCTCTCCCCAATATCCCTCTCCCTTACCTCCCTCCATTCCTCCCCCTCCTCCACCCCTTCCCTCTCCTCCACCCCTTCCCTCTCCTCCGTCCACCTCCCTCCTCCACCCCCTTTTCCTCTCTCTTTCCCCCTCCCTCTCTCCCCCTTCCCTTAACCCCCTCCCCGCCCTCCACCTCTTCATCTCCCCCTCCTCCCCTTCCTCCTCCCCTGCCCTCCACCTCCCCCCTCCCCCCGCCCTCACACTTGCGGTCTCCCGTATGAGTTCGGAGAGTATGATGACTTTGGGAATGCGGTGCCCGTGTTGCCTCACCGCCTCGCACCGTAATCCGCGAAGCAAGCAGACAGGCAAGCGAGGAAGGCAAGTAGGCAAGCAGGCAAGCGAGGAAGGCAAGCAGGCAAGCGAGGAAGGCAAGCAGGCAAGCGAGGAAGGCAAGCAGGCAAGTGAGGAAGGCAAGCAGGCGAGCAAGCATGCAACGTTATCAGCGGCGCTTGCTTGTCGGTGCTTGCCTCGGGGAGACCCGGTCATCGCCGTGAGAGGTCCCTTGGCCGCGGGTCGGGTGCGTGACGGGCGGGACTCTCCTGAGGGCGCGGGAGGAGGGCGCCGGGCGGGACGGTCGGGGCGGCGTGTTCTGCTGCGCCGCTTTGCTTGTTTGGCGGATTCGGGTTCGTCTGGCGGTGTGGTTGTTTTACTTGTTTGTTTGTTTGTTTGTTTTTGGTTATTCATCTTGTTGCTTGGTCGCTGCGTTTGTTTACGGGATTTAGGTTTGTGGTGCGGCTGTTTGTTTATTCATTCCTTTACGTATTCCTTTGTTTGGTCGCTTTGTTTGTTTGCGAGACTTTCGGTTATCTGTTTGTCTGTTCTTGTCTTTAGTTAATGGCCTTTTTTTTGCTGTTTGTGGTTGTTATCTGTCTGCCTATACACTGTTTTTATTCGGATGTACGTGTTATTAGCGTGTGTTTTGGTATTCGTGTCTTTGAATCGCGTAATTTATTTATCTTCGGAGTTATTTATCGATTTATTGCGTTCGAGGAGCGCCGCTGGTGGAATTATCGACCGCACTGTGAAAGCATGTAATGGTCCCGTGCATGGCGTGCGTGCGTGCGGGTGCTTGCGGGCGCGTCATGCTACTCAAGCTGACGGCGGCGCTGGAGGGATGCAGTATTTTTTGTTGTTGCTTTATTTTTATTTTTTTTATTTTTTTTTATTATTTATTTATTTTTTTTTTTTGTTCATTTTTGTTTTTCTTTCTTTCTCTTTTTCGTGGCATTGAAGAGCCTGAAGTGTCCCTTTGTTCGGTGCACGGGCGGAGGAGGAGGTGATGGAGTTGAGGGGGATAGAGAAAGAGAAGACAAGAGAGAGAGAGAGAGACAGACACACACAGAGAGACAGAGAGAGAGGGACACACACACACACACACACACACAGAGAGAGAGAGAGAGAGAGAGAGAGAGAGAGAGAGAGAGAGAGAGAGAGAGAGAGAGAGAGAGAGAGAGAGAAGAGCGAGAGAGAGGGAGAGACAGAGACGGACAGACTCGGATTACTCCCCCGCCAGACAAGAAATATGGCACACATTGCAGTTAAATACACGAGAAGAGGAGGGGAAGGTTGAAGGATGATAGAGGGGGGTGGGGGGGCAGGCGGGGGCCACATTTAGTCTGGTCGGTCGGTGCCACATCTTGGCGTATGATCACTGGCCTACACTAATGTTTGGCATTTCAAGTATTTCGGTGGCGGGGCACGGTGCCACAGCGCTGCGACCCTCGCCGTGGGTGCGGGCCAGTGCGGACCCAGTGCCTCGAGAGATGATGCATGGCGCTTGTACTCTCTCTCTCTCTCTCTCTCTCTCTCTCTCTCTCTCTCTCTCTCTCTCTCTCTCTCTCTCTCTCTCTCTCTCTCTCTCTCCCTCCCTCCCTCCCCATCCCTCCCTCCCCCTCCCCCTCCTCCCCTCTCCTTCTCCCTCCCACGCCTCCGACGTGACATCTGGGCGTTTTGTGGGCGAATGGGAAATATTATGGGTAATGAGCGGCCGGTGAGAGCGCCCACCTGCCGGCATTGTGCGCTGCATTGTGGGCGAGAGTCGAGCGGGACTCTTGCGGGCCGTACAACTGGTGGCGGCCCGGCTGGGTTATCGGGTTTCGCGAGGGGGGAGAAGGAGGGGGAGGGGGGAGTGGGGAGGGAGGGAAGAGGGTAGAGGGAGGGAGAGAGGGAACGAGGGAAGAGGGATGAGGATTGGGAGGGATCATGGGGAAGTGTTAGGGACGGGAGAGGAGGGGAGGGAGAAGAGGGGAGAGAATTAGAGGGAGGGGGGAAGGGAGGAGGGTGAAGACAAGAGGAAGGATGGAGAAAGGGACAGAATGAGAAAGAGAGGAAGGGGAAGGACGAGGAAAGAAAAAGAGGGAGGAGTAAGGGAGAAGAATGAGGAGGAAAAGGAGGGTAAAGGATGACGAGAGAGTGACTCAGGACACGTCGCCGCCTCCGTCCGTCCTTCCGTCCCATACTCGCTGGCTAGAAAAGGCCCTCGACGAGTTGTCTTCTGTGGGCGCAGGGACACCTTTTTCTGGGGAGTCGAGAGAGGTCAGAGATCCAGTGGACGCAGAAGATACGACACTCTGTTGGAGTGCTATAAGGCAGGTGCGGGTCAGACGCTGGGCAGATGAATCAAGAGCGACCGTGGCTTCGAACTGCTCGGCTCGGGCGTCGCTTCCGTAATGGGTGTGCGGGCACCTGACGCAGAGGTCCCGTTGGGTCGGATGTCTGACCCAAGGGGAGGCAAGTCGGGCTCGGCGGGCAACGTCGACGCCCGGGCGAGAGGGACAGACAGACGGAGGCGCGGGCGGAGGCGCGGGCGGGAGGGCCTCCTGTGCTTGCGAGGTGACAGGAGGCCGCGAGAGACGAGGGCGTGCGGCGGGGGCGGCGGGGGGCGCGGGCGCCGAGGCCCGCGACAAAGGCGGGAGGTGCGATTGTCGTGGTCGTCCTCGCGGGGCCATTGTCGTCCTCGCCGTCGCTGCTGTTGTTGCTTTGTTGTGCTTGTCAATGCGCTCCTCCAGGTCGCGTGCTCGCCTCCCATCTGCTCCCCCCCTCCTCCTCCCCCTCGCCCCCTATTGTGTTGATGCAAGATCGTCAACACCGGTATCCCACCCCCCCTTCCACCGTCCTCCTCCCCCAACGCTTTGTTGACGACGCCGTGGGGCATGTTTTGTTGCACGGTGGGGGGGGGGGGCATCGGGCGTCGTGGTCATCCCCGCGACGCCGCCCGCACATGCCCTCCCTTTGTGCACGCGCTGCTCGTGCTCTGACCGTGGGTGGCTGTCCTGTCACCCCGCCGCTAATTTGACGGACACTGACGAAATATTTAAGCGCGAGAGGGGAGGAGCGTCCAGAGGGGGGAGGGGGATGCTGAGCCTCCTGGCGGGGAGGTCCGAGTGCTGCGGATCCGGGGGCGCGGGCGAAGGCGATGCACTTGCACGCTCGCCGCCACTCCGGATCCTAAACCGGACGTTCCAGGGAAGAAGAACGCGTGCAAGAGGTCTCCTATCTCTCTCTCGCATCTCCTCTCTTCTTTTCTGCCTCCTCCTCCTCCTCCTCCTCTTCTATTCTCGTCTCTCTTTTCTCTTCATCTCTTTCTCTCTCTCATTCCCTCAGTTTCTCCCTGTCCCATCTCCTGTTCCCCCTGCTGTGTCCCTGTTTCTTCCTCTCCCTCTCTCCCTCCCTTCACCCCCCTTTCCCCCACCACCTCCACATCTCCTCCCCCAGGTCCGTCCCCGAGAGCGAGGGCGCGAGGGCACCCGAGGTCCTTCGGGTCCAAGGAGCCTCGCAGCACGGCGTGGGAAGAGTCCTGGAATGTGTGGAACAAATTAACTGCTCCCTCTTCGCTCCCTCCTTTTCTCCCTCCCTCTCTCTACCTTTCTTCCTCCCTCACTCCCTCCTTCCCTCCTTCCCCCTTCCTCTCTCCCTTCCTCCCTCTCTCTCTCCCTTCCTCCCTCCCTCTCCCTCCCTCGCTCGCACGGCCTGCATTCCTGCACTTCCGGACGCCCGGATCGCCACGACACTCGCCGCTGCCCATTGATTTCGTATCCGGTGCACGTACGCACTCGCGCTCTCACTCACTCAGGCAAGCAGTTATTAATTCACTCATTCAGTCACCCGCTTACTGACTCCCCCACTATCTTTTACTCACCCACTCTCATCCTCTCTCTCTCTTACTCACTCACTCACTCTCTCGCTCATTCACTCACTCATTCACTCACTCACTCACTCACTCACTCACTCTTCTCACTCTTCTCCCTCTCTCACACACTCTCACCCGACGGGTCACGTGGTCCGTGGTGTCGGCGGAAAAAACAACAGGTCTATTTGGCGGCGTCGGTTAGTTTTTGGTGCAAGCAGGGGAAAGGAGGGAGGGAGGGAGGAGATAAAGGGGAAAGAGTGATAAAGGAGGAGGGGAGGGAGGGCGAATTAGGGTTTTATTTCGATCTAGTCATAAACAGAGAGGAAAATATAGGGAATAGAAGCAACAAGAATATATATATATATATTTTTACGTAGTAGAGAGATAGAGAGAGACCTTGACATATAGACAGCGACACGGGGATAAGAAATTATGGAAAAATATATGAAATAACTACAGCGTGAAAAGTATGTTGACGCGACTTGGCTCCCTAGTAATAGTGCTTGCGATAAGCCATGTCATTGACCTAATTACGGCAAGTGAATTTGGGTCCACGCTCTGGCATTTACAACTTTTTTGTTTCTTTGTTTTTTATTACTTTTGTTTGGTTGTTTTCTCGTTTATTTGTTCTTTCTTTCCTTTTCTTGCTTGCCGTCCAGTTGTATGTTTTTTGTTTTTTTTTTCATTATCATTTTTTCTTGTTTCCTTTCATTTTTCTTCTTGTTCGGCGGGTCGTTTCCCCTCGGCCTCGGCTCGCGGGCTCTCCTTCGGCCCCGCTGGCGTCTAATAGCCTAGTGATTATCGGACCATTTTTTTCCTTTCTTTTTTTGTATGTTGATGGATAGATTAGATAATGGGGGAGAGGTTCTCGAATGGCGGAGGGAGGGGGGGGGTATCTGCCGAGGGGTGTGTGGGGGGGGGGGAAGGGAGCCTTTTACATGTTTTAAAAAATTGTTCTTTCCGATGAAGGTGCAATAGGGGGGAGGGGGATGGAATTATCGATGTTCTTGAGCGGAGAGAAAAAAAAAGTTTATTTCTTTATCGGAGCAGTTCTCAACGAGCTCTTTCGGTCGTTATGAGTGTTGTGTCCCCGCCCACGTGCTTGTCATTCGAATCCGATTTTATTTGCGTGAACAAGATGCCCGTTGGCAGAAAAGCAGTGGAGTGGGATGTGGAGTCCGTATACCCAGGGGGAGAGCCCCCCCCCCTGCCCGCCACCACCTCACCTGGGGATCAATACGGTCGCACAACCACTCGCCTCGCCAGCCCGCGCACCCCTGCCAGCCGCACGACCCACGGCCCCGCTCGCCCTCCGCGCTCGCCTCGAAATAGCGACAACCTCGTCGGGAAATGTAGCTCGAGCCCCGTGCCTGGGCCTCGGAGAAGCCCCTGGAGCCCTCTGCTATCCGAAGAGGAAGGAGGGCCAATGTGGGGAGGGCCCCGAAGGGCTGCGAAGGGCTCGGAGGAGCTCGGAAGTCGGGAGCGCGAGGGCTGGCCGAGGGCTGGCCGGGTAGAAAGTTTCTGTTTGGCTCGGCGGCAGCGTGCTCGGGGACCGTTCAGTGTGGCTGGAGGAAGGCTCGGAAGCGGAGAGGAGCGAGAGCGAAGGTCTGGCGCGGACCGCGGGGACGGGACAAGGACCCTAGAGAATGTGCACGTGTGCAGTGACGCGTGCAACACTGCCAAAAACTGGGAGTGCTTAACCCACCCTCGTGTGTCTCAAGTTCGAGCTTGTGGTGAAAGAAAGTGGCACGAGAGAGAGCTGGATAAAGAGGAATTAGCAGGGACTGAGAGAGAGAGAGGCTGGAAACGGGGAGTTGAGTGACCGTGCGGCGTGTGTTGTTCGCTCGTGCTCCGTTACGGGACAAAGACCGAAATATCTCGTTATAGCCGGACTGCCACCCTCTGGAAACGGACCAGGGGGAAACTGCCAACATTGTGATAAACCTCGATCGTGGAAACCTAGCGTGACTCTTGTGTGGACTCTTATCGGTCTTGACTCGCAGTCTGCATCCAACCAACACTGCCATTACGTTGATCTCCTGTGAATGCTCAAGTCAAGACAAGTTCTACCAAACGAAACGTGTCATAACATCACTGCCAATGTGTAAATAAGTCTTCAGGGATTCATTACTGCCATCTGACACTGTCACCGTACACACACATCTATCCGTGCTTTAAGAGATAGCGAGTGTTCCTCCAAGATCAGTTCCGCCGCCGAGGGACGTGGTCGCCGCCGGGAGAGCCCCAGGTTCAAGGTACGTACGAGGTGCACTTCGCCCTTTGCCAGTCGCAGGAGCAGCCCGGGGAGCGGCGGCGTTGCGAGGAGGCGTCCGCGGACCGCAAGTGGCTTACGTGAGAGTTCGAGGAGACGCCAGCCCCGACCTGGCAAGTCTAATCGCTGAGCGGCGAGGACGGGCGACTCTTGGCAACGCCGCGTCGGGCATTGCCACGGCCTGATAAATCTTGTATGGCTGTTGCCTTGGGCGCTGCGTGTGTGTGCTTGTGTGCAGGCACGGCATGAGGGTCCAGCGAGTGGGAAGGGCCCGTGGGAATGGTGGAAGGACGGCTCGAGAGGCGAGGCAAGGCGAAAATCGTGGTGCGTGTGCGTATGGGTAAGGCGGACGTGGCAACGCTGCCTTGTGTCCATAGACAAGCCCATCTCCTGCCATCGAATTTTCGCTAAATACGGGAAACTCTCAAGTTTAATGGAAGGGCTTCGCTTTTTCTCGTCGAGGGAGGCTGCGGAGCGAACATTTAGTTAGGCTGAAGTTGAGGGAGCCTCGTTTTCGTTTTCCTGCCCGAGTTGGGCTTTAAAAGGCAGCCTCTTTTTTGTGAGTGCGTTTAGGAGTAGTCATGTAACAAGCGACGCGCGCGGGGTGCGGAGTACGCAATTTCCCCCCAATTTTTTCCCAAGACGGCGATGCAGTTGCAGCTTTCGCACTTGCCAGTTGCAGAGCACACCAGTAACCCAGTCTCGGCGCGACGCGGGATGGCCGCCCGCACGAGAGGAGGGCCACAGCGAAAAGGCCTTCGCGGACCAGGAAATGTGGCTGGCGTATGTCTAACGGCCGTTCGGAGCGTTTCCCGGCAGAGGACGTGGTCACGGGGAGGTAGGCCTACACGCCGGCTGGCTTGACCCGCGGGCCCCTTCCCTTGCCTCCGGGGCCTCGCTGGCCGCCTCTCCCGCCCGCACACACGCCCTCACAGCCCACTCCGAAAGGGGGAGGGGGCTCGTTCTATCCCCTGTAACCCCGAACGTCGTCCTCAGTGTCATTCCTCGTTAAAAGGGACACCATCGTCGTCATCACTATCCTCTGGTGCAGAAGATAGCTTGGGAACATCTTTTTCATTCTTCCCTTCCGTCCTTCCTTTCTTTCTTCCTTTCTTTCTTTCGTCCTTTCATTCATTCTTCCTTCCCTCCGTCCTCCCCTCCTCTCCCGTCCTCTCCTCTCCTTCCCCCTCCTCCTTCCTTCCATCTTTCCCTCTGTCGACCGAGGACACTGCCCCACGAGAGGGAATAAATCCTTCGGTTCAGAGGAGCTTCGTTCTCCAATACGCCAAGCGAGAGATCGTGGCGTTGCCTAGCGAGGTCTTGGGTCTCGTCTCTGCATCGTCTGGCCGTTGCGCGATGATGCAATGATTTAATGCCTCTGTCGCTCCGGCTCGGTGTTTGTTTTATCATTTTTTTCGCGGGCGGTGCGTTGTCACTTGTGTTTTGCTCTTGTGGTCATCTATTATCATTTTGATTGTTTTTTTAATGGATTTGTTGTTTTATTGTTTGGACTTAGTCATTGTTTGGTTATATATTAGCTGAGAATC